TGAGAGTTAAACTTTGTTTGAACATCTTTAAAAGTTTCGCGCAGAGCATCATCATCTGCAATTATTTGCTGACAATTTTCTTGACGATTTGTAATATTTATTTGAATATCTTGAAGTCTGTCAGGAGAAAGGGTATTATTTTGATTGATAATTCGAGAAACACTTCTCTGTGTATTAACAGAAATATTTTGAAGAGAAGTAGTATCTCTCTGTACACTCTGGGAAATATTTTGCCGCGTCATGATGTCTCGAATGAAGGTACTAAAATAGCAAATGAATTAAAAAGGTGGATGATCAATATTTACAAAAATTTATATACAATATAATCTGCGAAAAAAATGTGAGAAAAGAAATATGCACTTGTTACGCACATTATTTTATCAGTCTATATTTATATACTTTTTCAGTTTCTCCGAATATCTGAATGCAGGAATAAACAACAATAGGTAACGAGATTCAACTGCACCGTGGGTATAAATTTAGTCAATCGGCGTTATTGATGATGATCAAAAAAAACATTTAACCGCAGCACCGACTATTAAATTAATTTAGATAACTAATTCTTTTATCAAGACTACGAAGCATTTTATGTAGAGAATAATATTGTATTAGATCTTTTTGATTTATTAAACAGATTATTTATAGAAAACAAAAAGATTTTGAATTAAGAAAAACAAATTGCACATCAAATTGTGGATTCCGAGGCATGAGATTCTAAGATTTTTTATGTATAAACTTAATTTTTTTCTTGTACACTTCTATCAAGAAGTTTATGCTTTTGTATATTTTTGTACATTTTTTTTATTTATTGAATGAATTTTTTTTTTAAAAAAAATTAATGGATTTATTTTTTTAAGGATCTTATTTCTTTATAATGTATAACGACTAGTGGTACAAATTTCTTATTTTTTCTTGGATCGAGTCTTAATTGAACTTTTCGCTATTAGTTCAAAAAAAATTGCTTTTTAAATTGCATTATAGCTTGTTAGAAAAATATATTTATAAATGTTTATATTTTAACTTGCAATTAAAGATAATATAAACCTGGTTTTATTGTATTACATAATTAATATAATAAGTATATATATAATTATTATTATTATTATTATTTTTTGTATTAAGATTTTTTTTAAAGTTAATTTATTGTATATTGGTTATATAAAATTATATCAAGTTTAAATTATATTAGAACAACATATATAGTAGTTATATTAGTTAAACGATTTGTCACTATTTTATATTGAGTATTTTTTTTTTTTTAATATTTAGAGGAATTATCGGGTGTAATACCTGCCCCAAACTTATTAATACTTAAGTGAATTGACATATGGCAGTGTTATAAACACATACATATTGCATATAAATATTAAAACTAGAACTTTAGATTATACAAACCATTTATTCATAGCTAAAACCTACCAGAGCCTTTTGTATTTTTACTATATAGATGATCTGGTTTTGTATATTTTTTTCTAGTTGCCAATTAGTATCTGCATATTTGCTATATTACTTATATTACTTATTCAAATTAGTGTATATTACTTCAAATAAGCATTTTTTGCTTTTGGTTTGGTATACCTGGTAGAGAATTTTTTTCTTAATTCCTATTGTATATTTTTTAGAAGTTTATATCTCAAGCTATATAGCTGCTTTTATCTAATTAGATAAATATTTCAAGCCTGCATATTGCTATAACTAGCAAGTTTTTTGCAATTTTAAAACTCAAAATTTTAATATTTTAAATTTGTTATATTAACAACTATATTTTCCAATGTGGTGATAAAATATTTAGGCTTATTTTGCAAATATTTTTAGAATTAAGTATAGTTAGGTAGCATTATAAAACTTTGAAGTTTTTAACAAATATATTGTTATATTAGTATATTTTTTTTATTAAAATAGCTATACAAATTACTATTTATAATTTATACAAGTTAAATCAATAAATAATAAATACAAATCAGAAGACAAATTTTCTAATATGTATCTATTTTTTTTTTTTTTTTTTTTTTTTGGCGATCATGCCACACTTTTATTTATAAAATAGTTACATTATCAAATGCTATTACTATTTTCGGTACTTTGTACCTTATAATTAAAGTATAGCTCACCCGGTTGCCTTAGGTACCTTTGTGTGATCTGCCAAAGCAAAATTTGACTCATTTCCATGTTGGGATTTCCCAATAAGGAGAATCACTATCTTGGTTCTGCAGCCGATCATGATCACTTTTAGATTAAGTTTCACCAACTACTAACCTCTACTTCTATTTATCTTTTAATTTCTTTAATTGTAAACTTCAGGTATTCTTCTTTTTTAAAGTTCAGAAACCCTTTTCTTTTTATATTTTCTGTATAGCGGGGGCTTTAGATAACTTGGTTGATATTTTCTTTAACTTCTTCTTCTTTTTTTCTCCTCTCCTTCCTTCTTTCTTTTCTTTTTTTTGTTTCAGGTCTATGTTGTTCAATTTTTCCCATTCTATAGTTATTTCACATCTAGGTTTCCATATATGGTCTTGGAAAACGATCATCTATTTATCTAGCCAGGTTAGTAGGATGTTGTTTATTGTTTTTTCCTTTAGGCCTGATAAAAGAAAGTTGTTTCTACACCTTATGTTTATAATTTCTCAGGCTAAGGAGTTTCTTCTTTGCGAGTTTGAGATTTTTGGGTCTAGGATAGTTTTCCTTAATATTTGTAGGCTTATTAGCTTTTGGCTTTCTATACTGAGATCTGATCAAATTTTTTGTAGTATATCTAGTTTTCTCATATTATATATTTTTATTGGCAGGACAATTTGTTAGGTGTTTAGAGGTTTTCTCTTTCGATTTGCATTTCTGGCAGATTGTAGTGCTATATAAAGTCTCTTGGTCTTGTTTTCTTTTAACGAGTGTTGGAAGTAAAGCATCTACAGATTTGATTCTGAAGGCTCACTATTTGTTTGATTTGAGACTGCTTTCTCTAGAACTTCGTGTTTTTTGCCAGAAAGATTTAAAGATCTTTCAGTCTTTGGTTTCATTTCTTTTACTGTGAGTTTTGTTATTTTGATGTCTGTAGAAAGTTCACTCTGCTTTGTAGTAGGTGCTTAGGAGGTTTTTTGATAAAGGATCATATAGGGACTTCTATATGGTGTATATTCTATATTGGTAAGAATAGAAGACCTTTTATATTGCTAGTTAAGATATGTGTAAAAGTGGAGAGTCTTAAAGCCTGCTTTGCTGAGTTGTCAACTCTTTCATTAAATGTGATTCCAAAATGGGCTTTAACTTTATAAAGTGTTAAAGCAATATTTTTGATTAGTATGTTTTCTCTTATTTTGCCTAGAATATTACTATTCTTTGTCTTGTGCCACTCTCTTGTTCTTTCTATCTTTAGGGATCAGTTAATTGCTTGAATCGCAGCTTGACTATCTGTATATATTTTAATTTTTTTGTTTGAGGAAGATATTAAAATTGCTTGAAGTATAGCTATAAGTTCTGATCTTGTTGAAAAATACTAATTCTCTACTCTGCCTTTTATTTCTCTTACTATTCTATCTTCACTATCTACTTGGACTATGCTATAATCAGCTAAACAACTATTTGTATTAGATTTTGCTAGTGAGTCATCTGTATAGTATATTAGGGTATGAAATTTCTAATTATCTTTTAGAACTTTTAGTTTTTTATCTACTTTATCTTGGTTCGCAATCAATTTTTCTATACTAATTTGATCCTAACCTTTTGGCTTAATGCTGTCTATTAGAATGTATTTAGCTAGATTTTTTTGATTGCTTGAATTTAAAGAAGAGGTAGCTTTTAGTGATTCTAGATTGGTTAGCAGGTTCTAGCCTTCTGTCCCTCTTCTAACCCAGTTGTTAATATTCTCAAAGCTCTTTTGGTCTATTCTTACTTTCTTGTTTTGTGTCTCTTCTTTTATTTGGACTCTAGTTTACTAGTGGCTAGATCTTTTTCTATTTTCTTTGTCGCTCTCTTTCTATTCTTTGATTTCGATCTTACTATTGGTAAGTTTTTTGTCTATTCTGCCAAAAATTAACTCATTACAGTTTTTCTTTTTAGCAAGAACCCATTCATGTCTAAATTTTTTGTTGGTAATTTTGAGAGCTTTTCGTTTTGTTTGTAGCTATGGTTTTCTAAAGTCTTGTCTTTTATAGCAAGTTTTGATTGTTCTTCGATCTGGGTTATTTATTAGTATATCCTCTAGCTTTTTAAACCAATTTGGCACTCTGCCTTTCGTAGAAATATCTCTAATTTGTCTCAGTTGCTGCCAGGTTAGTAGTATCTGCTCCTTTTCAAGTATAATTTGATCTATGTACCATAACCCTAGCTTTTGTATACTTTTCAAATTGCTTAAACAATTATTATTCTGTAGTATTTTTTTAATTTTTCAGCTTGGGTTCTGTAATAAGCAGATTCTCTATTCTTCTTCAGCAATATTGCTAGTGACTGATACTTGAAGCTTTTTTGCTATTGTGAGAACCTCTGCGTTAAAATTATTTGTCCAGCTTATGAAGTTGATTGTAGTTTTGTCTAGAAGCCATATGGGTTTTGTTGCTAGTAAGTTCAGTTGGGCTTCTTTTAATCTTAGTTTCGCTAGGTCTCCTGCTATATTAGAGCTATTAATTCTTATAACATATTCTGTTATTATACTTTCTAAATGTCTTTGCCAAAGTGATTTCAGGCCTAGAAAAACAGGATGAAAAAATAGAGTATTAGAGGCCATGTGCTCTGTTTTAACTTTCCATTTAACTACTTGTAGTATAAGGCTCTATATTTCACTATACTCATTTTTAGACAGGAGTAAAGTGCTCAATTTGTAGTTCAGTCTCAGCAGGAGGATTTTATTATTAATTGATAATCCGCCAGTCAACAGAAGAATAAACATAGTGTAACGTGATGCAAATTACTATGTAAATCCAATATAGTGTAAATCTGAAAAATTTCTACTGTTCATCTATAGAAAACATTTTTTTATACTAAGTTAATCGATTTTGAATTAATTAAAAGTTGTAGAGCTCATCTTTGTGGTTCTAATGGTGGTTAAATCATCCAAATCAGCCTAGTGGATGCCAAGATGTCTTTAAAAAACGCATCAATGATTATATAAAATCTCTATGTAAACAATATATTGTTTACATAGAGATTTTTTATAATCGTTGACACGTTTTTTAAAGATATCTCGGCATCCACTGGCCGATTTGGATGATTTAACCACTATTAGAACCGCAAAGAAGAGCTCTACAACTTTCAATTAATTTACAAAATTGATTAACTTAGTACAAAAAAATATTTTCTTTGGACAAACAGTAGAAATTTTTCAGATTCACACTATAATAGTGATCTGTGTCATGTTACACTATGTTTATTCTTCTGTTGACTGGCGGATTATTAATTAAATATCTTTTTTTTACTTGCTTTTTTAGAAATTAAAAATAGTATTTGGTATAAGGGAACCCGGATGAGTGAGAACAAACTGAAGTTGATGATACAACAGATTGTAATTAATATGGGAATTGATCTTGAAGAAAGAAAAATAACAAATCATACTGGTTGATACACAGCAATCATGATGTTGAAAGCTTTTGATGTTCTCAAGGATGAAGCTATGATATTTTTAGGACATCGTTCACATGAAGGCATTCGGGCATATAGTAGTCCAACAGATAACTAATAACTATCATCAATAGCATTATTAATTTCCTATATATTTTATAATGAAAATTTTGAATCTTACTATTCTTTTCTGGAAGATTCTTATATTGATTATGAATCTGATGAAAATAATGAAGCAGATTAGTAATTGTGTAAAACAATTAATATTAATAATTTTAATATACTTATCTTTTAGATACTATAGTAATAAAATTTCATGTATATCAAATCCAAGTCAAGAAACTTTTCCTGAACCGCCAAGTCAGAAAATGACTCCTGAACTATCAAGTCAAGAATCTGTAAACTCAGTGATCAAGTTAATAATTTCTAGTAAGATTTTTTTTTTTTATTGTAATATTTTATTAGATTTTATTATTTATTTATTTGCTTTTTAAACAAACATTTTAAAAGGCAAAAAAAATTAAATTTGAATTTGAATTCAAAACTTTTAATGCTATTTAAAAGTCTAGTAGTTAATTATAAAAAGCACATCTTCATCATCAGAATTAATCATTGCATATTTAGTATAATCACCAAGATCAAGCGTTGCAAGCTCAGCATTACCACCAAGACCAAGCATTGCAAACTTAGCATCACTACCAAAACCAAGCATTGCAAGCTCAGCATCACTACCAAGATCAAGCATTACAAGCAAAAAATAACTATCAAAAAGTCCAGGCATCACAAGCAAAAACCATTCACTATCACAAGCATATTATAATGACAAACAAGTGCTAGCACCAACTTTCAATAAAGAACAAAAAGTATTATAGCTAATAACAAATAATATTATAATTCAGATTCCAGATACTGAAAAGTACCTGAATATCAATTTGAAGATTTCTTTTCGAAATGATTAATTTTTTATTTGAATTTTTTTTTTTATTAAAAATTTTATCAATGTATTTAAAATAACAATGGAATTAGAAATGATAACAAATAAAATAACCAATTTTGCTTAATTACTATTTTACATATGTTCTAATATAAGTCAAATCGCAAAAATTATATTCATATAGGTATATATAAAAATCACATGATTTTTATATATACCCATGTGAATAAGCTTTCAAAAAAAGCATGGATTGTTGCATAAGATTTATTCTTTAATATATAGACCAATGCAAGCAAATTTGCCTGTGTTTTTGCACTTTTTTTAGCTTTGATTTACTTTTTTAAAATGCTAAAATATTTAAATAAAATTTTGCACAATTATATTTGAAAATAAGGATTACTTTTTTTGCAAAATTAGTTTTTATAATATAAGAAAAAAAGTTTAGGTTGCTTATAAGCTAAAAATAGACAAGTTTAGA